GGCAGCGACGCGGTGCTGTCGGGCGTGGGGCTGCACGTGGACTCCTTGGAGTCGTCGTCCTCGGACGAGCAGCGCGCCTCGCCCTTTTTGGTGCCCGCCGAGCCTGCTGCTCCCTTGGCGCTGGCCGCGCGCTCCTGTTTGCGGAACTTGGCCCGGCGATTCTGGAACCAGACCTATGGGCCCAGGGACTCGTCAGCTGCGTTGAGTTGGAGGTCCGCGAGCACAGGGGGTCCGCCTCGGACGCCAGCCGGGGGTGGGGTCTTGGTCTGGATCCGGGTACCAGACCTTCCAGTCCCAGCCTTGGCTGCTCAGCCCTCCTCGCCTCCCAGCTCCGCCCCAACTGTCCTTCCTCTAGAGGGTGCCCAGGCAGATGGTTCTGGGCTCTGGGTAGGGGCTCCGTCTTCCCTCCCCTTCCGCCGGCCCTTCAACGGTCTCTCTTCGGAAGCTGCGGGAGTTACCGCCAGGAGAGGCCCGGCGCCTGAAGGCGGGTGTACCCAGGTCTGTCCAGCTAGACCACCGAGTACCCTCGGCCCCTGTTTGGCCCTGTGCCTACCCCTAGTCCAGGGGTTACACAACAGTGGAACCGAGGAGTCCTGGGGAGCTCTGGCCGGCCTATCCCCGCCGGGCTGCGTTCTGAGGCCGCCTAGAGCCATCTCCCCTCCAGCTCCTGCGCCTGAGTCTCAGCTCCTCCAGCGTGGCCAGCCATGGCCTGACCCCAGGAGGGAGACCAAGCAGAAATGTAAGCGAGCCTGTGGAGGGCCCGACAGCCCGGTGACCTGGGCCCAGTCTTTGGGGAGCTGCTCCCTGGGCTCTGGCGCTGCGCTCTCCGCTGCTCCCCACAGGAAGCCCCTCAGTCCGCAAGTCCCCCAGATGTCTACCATTAACCTGTCCATCTCCCCATCCACCTGGCGCACAACGCCCGCGCGTGTGCACCTACCTGCACGCGAGCCTCAGTGAGGTCGATCTTGAGCGCCAGCTCCTCGCGCGTGTAAATGTCCGGGTAGTGGGTCTCGGCGAAGACGCGCTCCAGCTCCTTGAGCTGCGCGCTGGTGAACGTGGTGCGGATGCGCCGCTGCTTACGCTTCTCATGCAGGCCCGACGGCTCCGGGAAGAACTTGTAGGGCACTACGGGTGTGCAGGAGGGAATAAAACGTGGTCAGGGAAAGTGGGGACATGAGGAGCTGAGCTTGTCCTCCCCGGAATCCTTATGGGGGGGGTTGGGGAGGGAATGGATGTTACCCCTTTCCCCCAGGTCTCCTTGTCCTCTTAGTCTCAGGCAGATCTGGCAGATCGTAGATCGTCAGGAAACCTAGCTCGATGGAGCTCGATGGAGCCAGTTCGCAGACAGAGCGTCCGCGGGAAGTCCTGGGGCTCAAGAATCACTGCAGAACTAGAATCGGAGCCTTGCGGCCACCTGCCCTAGCCCACCCTCTCTCGGCCAAGCACCCCTGCCGCTGTTGTCCTCCCCTTATTGTGTCTCTCCCGCCCGCCCTCCTTCAGGTCTTGCTCTACCCGCTCTGCGGGTTTCACCAGCCTCTCACCAGAAACAAGTCTCCAGCTAGCTAGTCCTGAGTCTCTGCCATTGAGACCTTTCTACCCAAACGGCTTTCAGCCCTGCCATGGGCGCTGTGCACGGACAAATCTGGGCCCCTCGACCTCGACTTTGGCCTCCTTTCCAGGTCGATCTCACCCCGCCCGGATCTTTGGTTTCCATTCTCTTCCAGGTGCGCCCCCCTGCCCCCCAGCCCATTTCATCCCATCTTTCTTCAACTTGCCCCTTCTGGACCACTTTTCTCTTTGTGCCCATTGAGAAAGGTCTACTTTTCCCCACTCAGTTACCTCTATGTCCTTTTATGCTTCTGCCTCCCAGGCCAATCTGGGCTCCACATCCCCCAATGACCCAGCGGCCCCACCCCTCCTTTTCTTTCCAATCCCCACCCCAGTCCCTACTCCCCCATCAATAGTGTTCAGACACTCCTTACCTCTACCCCCAACTCCCAGGGGTGTCCCTTTATTTTCCAGGGTTCCCCAGTCTCCTTCATCCTTGTCCCATCTCCTCAGAACCCCATCTTCCTAAGCTTTGTCTCCAACACCCCATTCCTTTCTCCAGCTTCCTCATCTCTGTCTCCAATTTTCCTTGCTTCCCACTCCATAATTCCCTCCCCTATTAGCTGGTTCTTATTTCTAATGCCTTGGCCCTGGGGGCTCTCCGGTCTTTCCATTTCTGCTCCCCCCACCCCCATCCTGATTCTTATCTGGCTCAACCTCACCTTCCCTGTTTCAGTCTCTACCCCTCTCTCTCATCTCTCCAAATTCATGTCTCTATCTCAGCCCCAGTCCCACCTGCTCTACTTTCCTTCCCAGCCTCGCTGGTCCTTCCCAGAGGAAAGGGGACTGGGTGGGGCAGGCTGGAACTGTAACTGGAGCAGGGAATGGCTGAGGAGCTCCAGTAGGGCAGGCTTCAATGAAGATGAGGGCTTGGATCAAAGGCTTTGGGGATCTGTGGCAGGCAGCTTCTGTGCTCTGCAGGAACCTAGCTGGGATAGCCCAGTCTCCAAAAGGAATGAGGAACTGGAGTGGCTTCAGGATCTAGGCCTCATTTTCTGCACAGTGGGCTATGGCATGGGTTTCCCTGAGGGTGGCACAGGAGAATTTGGGCCCCCACACAAGGCAGAAGTGGCAGGAGGGGCCTGGTAATGCAGAGACTCTAGGAAGGTTCCCATCAGGACAGCTCAGTTGTTGAGGGGGTCTTGGGTGGGGGTGGGGGGTCTCGCATGGTGTAGCTTGGGAGTGATAAGGCAGGCGTCTGGGAGGGCTAAGCTGGGACTCTCTCTGAGGGCACCAGGGATGCAGATGTTCGGTGGTCAGTCTTCGCAGGTGGAAAGTGGGAGAGCTGGGGAGGGGCCTGGAATTGGACCAGGGGGTTATTCCCTTGATCTGTAGGTCACAGGCTGGGTAAACACGAGCGGACAAGCTGACCCTGTCGCGAAGAACCCTGTTGTAGAGGGGTGCTGGGGTTCCCGCGGGGCGTGGAGAATCTGGCCAGGGCAAGGAATGGGGGTTGCAGTGGAAGGCAGTGGCCATCACTTGAGTAGGGTTCGGGCTGGGGCGTCCGCAGGATTTGGAAGGAGGGTGGGACAGGGTGTGCGCTCACCTGCTGAGTAGGGCGCGGGCTGGTGGTCGCGGAGGGCTCCCAGGGCGCAGTTGGAGGAGCCGAGCGCCGGGCAGGGCGGCCCGGCCGCGGGGAAGGCAGGCCGCAGGGGGCTGTACTGGAAGCCTCCCGGCTGGCTGCAGGCGCCAAAGTCGCCGTAGGCCGACGCCTCCATGGCCGCCACGCACGAGTCATAGGAATTGAGGTAGGAGTAGTCCATC